TAGTTTGTATCTGTGTAAGAAAGTGAAGAGGAGGGGAAGGCTTGTCTACACTGACTTATCCAACAACTGGGGGAGGACACGGAAGATTTATACATATAATTATAGTGTTATCGTGAGAGGAGAGGAGAGGAGAGGAGAGGAGAGGAGAGGAGAGGAGAGGAGAGGAGAGGAGGGGAGGGGAGGGGAGAGGAGAGGAGAGGAGAGAGTCGAATTGAGTAGAGAGCAGAGAGGGTAGAGGAGAACAGTGCGGAGAGGTGCACAGGGCACGGGCAAGGAAGAGGAGGAGAAAGAGGAGGAAGAGGGGGAAGGAGAGGGGGAGAAGAGTTGAGGGGTGGTGAGGAAGAGGAAGATGAGGAGAAGAGTAAACACACTACAGATGGAATCTTTGCATCAATGAAATGTGAGTATAAACATGTGTTTGCATGTGGTAAGAACTGCATATGATTCTGTTGCTGATGATTGTCTCTATTGATGATGATGATGATGATGATGATGATGATGATGTGTACTACACTGAACAGAGTCTTTACAGTGTCTTTTCTTAGTTGGTGTTGTTCCTCCTCTCATTTATCTTTACTTCATTTATCTTTGTTTCTATCTGATTCCTTCTGTCTCTTTTCTTCTTTCCTTATTTTTGTTCCTCCTTTCTCTCTGCTCTATCTCTTCAGGATAAGATAAATAATAAGAGTGCAGTAGAGGAAAGAAAGGCCAGTGTCACATTGCATTAGCTTCACACACAAACACACACACACACAAGGAGAAACACGTTTAAAGTGTGATGAGCACATGTGGAGTGTGTGTGTGTGTGTGTGTGTGTGTGTGTGTGTGTGTGTGTTTGTGCGTTTGTGTGTGTGTGTGCGTGTTTGCTGATGTACACTGTGAGCTCAGCTGAAACAAGCAAAAAGAAACCATATACTCTTTTTACACACAAAAACAAAGAGCTATTGTGAATGTTCACTTGTTCATTTGAGCAGAGTGTACGATCACAGAGAGAAATGTGAGGAGGATCTGTGTCTCACACTTACTGTTGAGCTGTGATTGTGCCCCACAGGGTGATACAGTATGATCCAAAAAGATGCTTGCAGGTTAAGTTGCCATCCATTTCCTTTCTTTTAAATTCTGCCTGAATTGTCCAGGCTGCACGGTAGTGAAGAGGTTAACACTGTCACCTCACAGTAACGTGGTTAAATGGTTTAAATCCCACCTCAGCCGGGGTCTCTCTGGGTTTTTCTGGGTTTTCTCCAGGCATCATGGCTTCTTTGCATGGTCCAATTAAACGCAGATTGAGGTTAATGTGAGACTCTGAATTGAACATTGGTACGAATGTGAAGTGTTTGTCAACTGGGATAAGCAGACCCAAGACCCCTCCAGGATAAGAGGAATATATAATGGATGGATGAATTGTCCATTATGTGACGAACCTCATTCTCTCATTGTTTCGTGTACTTTAAATATTATTTAAAAAACTGTGTACCTCCGCTAAAGCACAACAGTCCAAATAGCACGAATTCATGTTAAAAAAATCGCCCTTTACCTCGTTAAAGAAACTGACAAAAATATCTGGATCCTCCCCAAAATTGAATGGGTTCTTCCATGATCCTTACCTCATCTCTCCAGCAGTGAAAACAAAAAACTTGCTTAAAGTTACTGTGTGTGAGAGTTAGATAATATCACTCTACAGCTACAGCTCATTAGCTTAGCTTAGCATATGCTGCGCACCAAATGGTACAAATATATCCACTCACTCGAACTCATTCACTAAAATATCCGTCAATAGACCGAATGAAATAAACTGGGTGAGATCCGGTCATGTGTCAGTGTATCCAGCTCCTGTTGTCTTGGCTGTTGGAGTGAGTGATTGGCTGTAATGAGCTGGATCCCACTGTCTCATACTGATGTTATTACATAACTGTGACGCTCGGCTGCCTGACAGTAAATCATGGCAGGTTTTTTTCTCTGCATTTACCTGTTGAGACTCTGATCTTTAATTGGGTGCATCATGAAACAAAATGATCTGAGCAGCTTTTATTTTAAAAGACAAAGAAAAGAATAAAAAGCTGAATTCAGCGGCATGATCTAAAATCTAAAAGTCCAGATGTAACAGACGAAAAAGAGGCAGTGTGCAGGAGAGCAGGGGAGAGAAGGGCGGCCACGTCCTGCAGCGTTTACACACAACATCCCTAAATGACCCTGACAGCCAGTGAATTTAGAAAGTGCTCGGAGCTTGGGTTATGTTTGGATGTGTTATGTTGCACTGCGTGTCATGTGAGCTGTAGCCGTGTTCTTCCCTTTTGCACGTGTTGTGTTGATGCATTGCTCTTCACTGTTGTGTAACATAATTATGGGCCTGAGGTGTGTTTTTAATGCTGATCAATGTGTCAGTCTGAGATGAAAATACATTTCTCATTATGGCCTGCATGCTTTCTGAAATGTGACTGATAAACTGCTGACTTGTTCTTCAAGCAGATTTCAGTTTTTACCATAATCCGTATTTAAAGATGGACAACATGAGAGCTCCCCAAAGTGTCTCATATGCCACTTGGTGGATGGCTGCAGTCTAGGTCATAAATCCCACCTCCTCCATGTTAGTGGACTGGACATAGACCAAAATAACGTCAAAGAACACGTCAAATACATTTTCCTTAAATATGTTTCTGTCATTTTAGGTATAGTTGGTATCAAACTGATGTGTGTTCAAGTATTTTCGTTTCTTATAAGTTTGGTTTTAACTGAAAGTTTCCTCTTTGATCTTCTGTGAGAGCATCATCCATTCTTTATCTGTTGAAGTTTGAACTTGTGAGAGTACAATGTGCAGGTTTTATATTTTGATCTTTTTAAGATGGAGTTTGAGGTACACATACACTTGCTTGTCATGAAATCTGGTCTGTCTTCATGAAGTGTTTCCACACATTATCAAAAGGCTTAATAGGGGAAAAGCTCATGTACTCTCAGCCAGAACACACTCACATGAGATGTATTTTAAGTCTCCAGCTGGGAAATTAAAACACATTCATGGAATCAGTTCTCTGTATCTGTACGTGACAGGATAAACACTTCTAATTTTATCTGGAAGAAGAAATTCATACATTTTGGACGAGACGTAAAAGGGATGTTGGTGAACACTGGCAGATATGTCATGTCTCACCGAGGGGCTTCACCATTTTTGTGAAATTCGCGAGTCGAGCTTTAAGCACAGTTCAGTGAAGTGTCACCCCTGCTGTAAGTGAAGATATTATTTAACTCTACTTAAGAGAATAGAAACTATTTACGGCACAGATTTTCATTTGTCTTTAAAAATTCATGAATAGGAACTGTAAATGTTTGCAGGATTTCAGTGTTGCTGAGCCCAGTAAGTGAAATTACCAACACTCACCAGCTCTTATCTTGCACTGTTACACAACACTGTACCTACAGTAAGTGATGGTTGTTAATCAGCATTATCCAGGACGGAGCTTTTATTAGCTGATGAAGACAGCTTTATTCCTGAAGCAGTATTTAAACTCGGTCAAACCGCATTATGCACCAAGCGTTAGATTTATGTCATAATGAACACACAAAGTACTCTAAGTCACTTCCTATTAAAGTTTGTATGTTTCTATATATTTAGAGCAGTTCAAGCAATGACAGATTTTCTATTAACTCCTCAAGTAAAAGAAAATTGCTGGACATTTCAGTTTTGTGTCGATCCGGATCAGTGGGTTGCATTTGACATTTGTGTTGATTTCTCAGAGAATTATGTGTGAACTTGGGGGTTGGTATTGATGAGTATAAATCTATATTTAGTGGATTTAAATGGGGTGTAGACTTCCAACTGTGTGGGAGCAAATACGTCTAGAAACCAGTCACTACCACCAATGTGTAGCTGAGAAATTTAATGTGGCCTGAGCCATTTTTCCTGACATTTAAAAAGCTTTCAGGCATCTTGAGATAAAACCCTGTTTAGACCACTTCCATTGTGACCCTTGTTAGACTGTGGAGTGTTTGGTTGAGCAGATCAGGTGAGGCACAAGTTAAGCACTAAAATCAGACCCATGGAGTCTTGTCTCTTTTCTTGCTCTGTCACAATCCTCCTCTCCTTTCACAAGATGAAAGATCCTCTTGGATCTTCTCCAGGATTTCAGCTCTGTTAGTTGAATTAGTCTGCATGTCACAGTGATGGGTTCTCTATTCTCTCTCCTCCCTGAGAGTCTGGACTCTCACATACTGAGCAGTTATGTATCTAAACACACACACTCAGGCTATAATTCTGGAAATGTGTTGGGGAGTTCCAGTCTGGTTGTGGGTCTACGTGTCTAGACAATACTATTTAGATATTTGCCTATACTGTTCCTTAGGCATTGCAAACAAGCTCAGGCGATATGCTGTGGTATGTGTCACTGGTTGATGCTTTTTTATTTGCCAGAGCTAAAATAATAAAAGACTAATCACTATCAGTACAAGTGTGATTTTGAGTCCACAAAGAATCTCATAAGACTTTGGTCAGTCTCCAATCAACATCATGTCGTGTGTGTGTGTGTGTGTGTGTGTGTGTGTGTGTGTGTGTGTGTGTGTGTGTGCGCACGCGTTTACAGTTTAAACAAAGTGTAAGTTGGCTGATAGCTATTTGTTGCCACCTAGTGGATAATTTAAACATTTAAAACAGAGCACAGTGTGTACATATTGCACTAACATCCCACTATGCAAGGACTGTAAACCTTATTAACAAGTGTGTATCATGGGAGGATCACTTGAGGCAGAGTTCTCAAAAGCATTTAGATTAAAATGAAGCTGTGTGTGTTTCACTTACAGTGTGAGTGAGAGCTCCATTGAGGCATAATTAGTTGTTGTACCCACATGTTTGTGCCTTTTCACCGTTCACCATCTTCCATTTTTCTTTCCTTCTGTCCCTCTATTACTCCTCACTTCTGTTCTGCTCCCTCCACAGCTCAAACCTACAGTCTCGGGGAGACATGAGCAAGGAACCACACTGACCTCTGCAAGAGAACACATTAGAGTACATCATGAGCACTCCAGTAACAACAAGTCCAAATATGGAGGTGAAGGTGGTCTCCCAGGAGATGGCATTGCTTAGCAACCTGATGGCTGCTTACACCTTCATTGCAGGTAGGACCAAAACCTGAATAACTGTCATTGCAAGTATTCTGTGCTAAGATGAGATGCCCAACACGCTGCATGTGTAGTCTGCAAGAAGTCTAAACAATTTTAAATTGATAACAAATTGATCTTATGTGTGATTCAATTATAAGTGTTGAGACAATGCTGATTTCAAATGAATAAAGATAATACGTTTATACCAAACATCTCTCTCTCTCCCTCTCTCTCTCTCTCTCTCTCTCTCTCTCTCTCTCTCTCTCTCTCTCTCTCTCTCTCTCTCTCTCTCTCTCTCTCTCTCTCTCTCTCTCTCTCTTTTAGACCAACCTGAGAGGGCAGCTCTGGTGTTTCTGGGTGGTGTGTGTGTCGGCCTCCTCGTCACACTCTGTGCCATCGTCTTCCAGATACACTGTCGAGCAGACTGTAACTATGGAAACAGTAACAACCCTCACCATCGACACAGGAGCAGGCACCATCACCATCACCGTCACCATCACCATCACAGCTGTCCCCGCCATCAGCCCGGCAACAGTAATCCAGACAGCACTGCTGTTGTTGCGTCTGGAGGGGCCGGGCCTGTGGGGGACAGTGAGTCAGAGGAATGGGACGACACGTCTGACCTGTCGGCACGACGACGCAGACGCTTTGAGAGAGCCCTACTGCATGCCACCATGTTTACATCAGCTGAGGGTACACACACAGACACACACAAACACAATGCCACATAAGAAAACTGTAACAACCGAAGGAGAGGTATCACAGGTCATTCCTTCCTGCAGCAGTAAGACTGTACAATCAGCTGTGCTCCCAGACCAAACACCTTTAATGGACTCCAGCACTTTAACTCAGGCTCACCTTTTATCTGTGCTATCTATTCAATGGCTTATGTGCAATCAATTTCACTGAACATATGTTCACACTATTCTGTCTACACTGTATATATAAAATTTTTACTCTCCTCACATTATAAGTATTGCATGATATGTATTATTACTTTACAATGTCTATTTTTGACTGCCCTCTTGCTGCTGTAACATTGCAAATTGCAAATGTTCCCACTGTAGGACTAATAAAGGGCCTTATCTTACTAGGATTCATTTTAGTGAAGGAATATAATCGTATTATGAATTATGAAATACACAGGTTTCACAAAACAATTTTGTGTGATCTCAGCCAGAACTGCAATAGAGCATCCAGTCAGAAGTCTTCCTCACAAACAAGTTAACAAACCAACCAAAAACAGACCGGAGCAAAAACAAACAAAATGAACATCAAAATATGTTCAATGACGTTTCTCTTTGCTCAAAGCTGTGGAGCTGACAGCAAACAAGGAATGACTTGTGAAATGTGCATCTTACTGAATCAGAAATTGTCAATGGATGTTGGAGATATAATTGGCCCCTTTATGGCCCCCGATTTATAAATCCTAGATCCTCCACTGACTATTCCATATAACAAATACATCTGAACAAAAGTACATTACAAATGTCAGATATATTTATTCTCTACAATAGAAAGTCTTCTCAATAATAACGTGACATTTAACATTTATGTGAATGAACAGTGTGTGGGTGTATTTTAACACCCCTACCTCTTTCTGTGTGTGTCTGTGTGTGTGTGTGTGTGTGTGTGTGTGTGTGTGTGTGTGTGTGTGTATGCACATCACCAGAGTTGGACCGATCCCAGCGGCTAGAAGATCGGGAAAGGATTCTCAGAGAGATCTGGATGAACGGACAACCTGACATCAGTACAGTCACTCAGAGCCTTAACAGATATTACTGACACATGTTCCGTCAGGAGGATATAACAGGAGGATAAAAGATGGAATAAAAGTTAAAGAAACAAACTAAAAAAACAACTGGATGAACATTATAATCATTGGTTTGGGGGGGCACTGTCTGCACTGCACCTAAGAAACTCTCATAGATCAAACTGGGGCAGACAACACTGCCTGGACTGGTCATCTACGGTAAGAACAACAGGAACAACACACGAGTTGTGATGGTTCAGTCCCACAACACAGGACGACTCGGAGGTGGCTGGAAGAACGACTCTGTACCCTGAATGTCCAACAAGTAAATAAATACATAATGGACGTACTGTAGACACCATGGATTCTCAGGACTGTTGTTAAAATACAACGAAATGAAAAGAAATGGGAGAAATACCAAAACCATGTGAAGTGAAACTACTGCCATAATGTTACCATCACTGAAAACTGCACAAGGGATTAGATAACTATTCAAATTTTAATCTGATGCTTTTCAGAAACATGGAGTTTGTACAGAGGAGGAATAAGAGGCCTTGTGGAGGTTGCAGCTCTGCGGCTTTTAATGAGAGGACGGATTCAAATATTCATGATACTGTGTTGTTGCACTTTTCTCAGCTCCCCCTGTGTTTTTAAAAATGTTGTAATCGTGAGCTGCTACTGGAACCTCTTTGTAAGGTCAGATAGAAGGGAAGGTAAACGTCAGCTCCATGTCAGGATGGATATTACACATGCTGGTGCTTTTACTGCTGCAACTTTTCATCCCTAACCAACCCGATGAATGCACATTAACAGGAGGTTGATTAAAAATTAAAAAAAGGAATAGGGAAACAGGACCAAGGAAACGCCTACAGCTTGTGTGGGGGTTGTAGCTGTAGCTTATCAGCTGTAGGTGTTGTTGCACATTAAGGACAGCAGGTCATCATGTCTGAAAAGATCATGCTGCCTTATTTTATTTGTCTCCTGTCGTAAAGAGCTGAAACATATGAATAAATGTTTTATTCAAGGATTTTATGAACATTGTTTTCAGTACATACTATTGAGTAAAGCCCCTTATCAAAATCTAACTGTGACTCATATTTCTTCAACTGTGTTTTGGGTATTTGTTGCAGTTGTACATGTGAATGGTAATGTGGGAGCTTAAAACCCTCAGTATGTCCAGAGAATAATGTGTCTGGTCAATGGATAATGAACTTCTGAATCCAACTTAACAGAAATGTCTCTGCGCTCCACGTCAGTGATTTATTTAGAGGTGGAGGCTCCCTAAAGCCAAGGAACGGTCTGTGGTGGACGGGGAAGTGGTTAGAACCAGAACTCGGTCTTCAGTACACTGTGTATATTTTCTATTTAGACATATGATATCATGTATGATATAATAGGAAGTGATGGCCTAATCGCCTCTGAGCTACTGAGAAAGGAACCACAAAACCTCATAATGAGAAGTCTGAGCAGCAGCCATCAAACTGCTGACTCACCGGAGGTAACACTTGCTAATACATTACAGACACAGATTACAGACCAAATCTGGGCAATGGTTGTTACTGATGGAGTCATACTACCCTGAATGTACAGCTACAGTGGCCCTGAACACAACAAATCAAAACAAACATCAAAAAATTACAAAAGACAGGGTAGGTATCTATCAACATGACTGTCGTCCTGTTGTGTGATTTGTTGCTGTGGTTTCTTTTTTGCGATTGTGTTTACTTATATGCTTTTGTGTTTTATTATTTGCAATTCAGGACCACTGTACCAGGACCTCAGGCCAACCCCCTTTCAAGACCACTTAGTTGGTAAAATTCCATTTGGCATTGAGCCTTTAATTCCTTGTCAAGACTTTCTTTAACACCATAATGTAGCCTGATAAATGAGGAGTTTCTTGGCAATGCAGAGATTAAAATCATAAAGGCATATAGTTTGTTCATCTGCCTTCAGATGACTTATTCAGGAAATTAGGTTGTCTGTTATTTATTGTGCATCTGCATTTTCTTTTCTGATTAATGATTTCAGTAAGAACTCAGTCAAGAGTCTTAAAATGTGAATATTATGCAGCATAATAATTGTCTCTTTTTGTTGTCATCAGAGTTGACAGATGAGGACATTCGGGAACCGAAGGCCGTGGATCCAGGTGCTGCAGTGCTGACGAGTCTGGAAAATAGTGCCACAGAAACTGTATCATCTGACACTGACACACAGGAACAACCAGACTTACCTGAGCCTTTGACAGCTTTATTTAACCCAACACTCAAAGAACTCTCACCAGAGGAAATGCAGGTGAAAAGTGAGAAAACATTTCATAGACTGAAAACTAAACTAAAACCTCATCAATGTGAGAAACTAGAATTTATAACACAGCAACAGTCAAAGGACTGGAACACCTACAGGGCTGAAGTATTAAATTTCTACTTGCGACTACAACTGACAATGTCAGCAAAACATACCTAATGGATATAATGCAGTACAACAAAACACAGGTAAAGGGATAGTTCACAGAAAAATGAAAATTCACCCATTATCTACTCACCACTATACAGATGAAGTGTTTGAGTCCACAAAACACTTTGGGAGTCTCAGGGGTAAACAGTGTTCCTCTTGAAGATTTGGGGCATATTCTTGAGTGTTGCCTCCTTACTTGGCCATCAGTGGCTTGAGGACTGGTGACATCACAGGTATCCAGCTCAGACAAATATTTGATATTGTGCTTTTTTATACCATAAATCTATGAGACAAGTCCGTGTTACTTGGGCCCAGTCTTAATTTCATCAGCACAACCAAAAGGTGGTCCTCTAGAGTGTTTCTGGCAGATATTCTGTACACTGTGTGTTATTTTGTAAGCAATCAGTTAAAGATCACCCATGTCAATCCTGTGAGAAAAATAGTTGTCCAATGGTGCACTATTGTGGTGTGGGATCCCTCTCCCTTTCCTAGGAGACAGATCCCTCTCATGTGGATCTCTCTGAGGTTTCTACGTTCTTTTCCCACTGTTAAAACATTTTTTGTGTGTAGTTTTTCCTTACTCTTGTTGAGGGTTAAGAAAAGAGGATTTCACACCTTGTTGAAGACTTATGAGACAAATTGTGATTTGTGAATATGGGCAACAAAAATAAAATGTGATTGATTGCACCTTGTCTTTCAGCTTTTCATTTTTTTAGCTTTTAGTGTGCCAAACTCTGAAGTTCACAGAGTCTCAGGTTGAGATCATCATTCTCTGTCTTTGGGAGAGGGATTCCCTCTTCAGCTTTAAAATAACTCCTCCTTTTCCGGTGATACCTACAATAAAACAAAAGTAATCAACAATTAGACCAGTATTTTAAAGCCAGCTGCTGTTATAGCCAGAGCATACTGAATGAAAGAGGAAAAAACATAAACACACTTCATTATTTTCTAGTTAAAAAACACAATCTAAAACTGGTTATCAAACTTAAGGTAACTTACATCAGTTTATTCATCTACATCTGACAGACAATTGTTTCTGTAAACTCAGGGGTGGGTAGCACCCCACTGCAGATGCTCATTTACATCTACAAAGCCAGTGTATTTTTTATATATACATGTGTGTTCTTGTTATGTGACCTCTTTAGGTGCTTTTCCAGTGCAAACACTGACCTCTTCAGGACCAGTAGTCCTCATGGGGACCAAAGCCTGGTCCTGATGAAGGAAAACATCATCTCTGAATCCTGGTTAAGGTTAGAGGTCAGATGTGAATTAACCTTTGACTACAGTGAATTGTGAAATGAAAATGTACTCATTATGAAGGGGTGGGTGAAGTGTTTGAATGTACAATACAATTTTGGAGTTTCAGGGGTAAACAGTGTTCCAGCCAGGTCCAATACAATTGAAGTAACTGGTGACCGATTCTTCAAACTTAGAGCAACATCTCCTCTTCATGAGGTAAATGACACCGTTTCAAGTGGAATTTGAATGTTGGGCTAAGGGACACCGCAGGAGCTAATTAAACCTCCAATTGAATCATCATGTGCATCCTATCTGTTATTAATGTTGTATAACTTTATCCTCACTAAAGTAGCTGTGTTCATTCATTTCACGCCAACATTTTGCTGAAACAATAAGTTAGGTCACTTCATGGTGTTTTATCATAGACTGTGTTTCTGTCCACCAGCAGCAGCAGCCTACTATCTCTTTAACGGGACGGGCGGTGTCGGTGGGACGGGATGTGGAGCAGAGAGAGCGGGACTGAGACTGCTGCTGCAGCCGGACCGACTCCTCCCGAGCCCCGGGACCAGCCCCAGCACCTCAGCGTCCTGCAGAGACCGGTGATCAGCCCCGACCCACCAACACTCGCGGTGTAAAGAGGAGCCGCCATGAGGGACTACACGGCCGCGCCGAGCCACGGAGGCGCGTGCATGCCCTGCTGCCAAGTTTGCGTGTTCGTCTTTACCGCATTTCTCATCGTCGCAGAGCGGACTGCGCGTGAGTCCTACCTGGGACACACACACACACACACATACACACACATACACACACACACACACACACACACACACACACACACATCCACTGTCACTCACAGTGTGTTGATGATTGATACGTCATGATGTGTCCCCGTGCACGTACCTGCAGTGTGTTATTTGACTTTATTGGCGTGCGCGTGCGTGTGAGTGTGTGTTTTAGTCCAGTGTGTGATGGAGGATACAGACACAGTCCAGATGACACAGCATCCTCCTGATGTCACATGTGTTTTAAATCTGCAACAATCCATCATGTAAAGTTGCTTCCATTGTGTTTTAAATGTTGTGTTGTTATGAATTATTGAGTCAGAGCTGAGTCTGCACCAGTGCGTCTCTCTCTGTATAGCCTGCGTGTTATGAAATCCTCATGCAGCAAAACTGCAGACTCATGCCAGAGTTTTGCATCTTTTAAACAGCTGCATAATTGGATCTTCTTGGTGATATGTCCAGAAATGAAGCAGAGCAGTGTTGTTATATTCCAGCGCCTTTTCTTTTGGAGGCGCAGGAGTGGACGGGGGATATGGGCGTATACCCCAGGTTGGGGCCTAGTCTGTCCAGACAGCCCGCGTGTTTTAGCAACTGAAGGGGGTTCAGATTACAAGTATGGAGGTATGGAGGGAGGGAGGACTGCAGAGCCCCAGGCTGTGTGGTGGAGGAGAGTCTGAGAGAGGAGAGGAGGCATCAGGGGCCTTGTTGACTGTAAACCTTAGATGGGCTGATGTACAGAACAGAGGTCATCTGAGGAAGTGGACACACAATACACATACATTTAAATATTTTCTGATCAAATGCTACAGGATACTTCTAATGCAAACACTGCTATTCTGAGTATAACAGTGCATCAGCATCCTGCTAAATACTCACAGGCTGTACTTTGTTATGATACCAAAACACAACCGTCCTCTTTTGACAAGTTTACAGTAATGTTGTGCATCTAATGGTGTGACAATGATTTGTTTTGTAATCAAAATGATTGGGTGAGGTGTTGTGTGTTGTACTGTCGGAAGTAACATTGCTCTTTGTGAAGAAGAATAACTCCCATCAGTGTTGCATTACTACATCTTAAATTATTGTGACGTATTATCATTATTTCACAAAACCGAGCTTAGTTTATCTGTTTTCTATAGTGTCGTGTTGTGTAGTTTCATTTGTATGTGTAACATTTAAAAAGCAATGGTACAATATTTATATCAAATATTAATCAGCAAAATAAATAATATTGATGGCCGTATGATGAATGTAAGTAGGGGAAGTAAAAAGTACATTATTTGAATCATACATATTTCCCTCCCTACATATAATGGATTAGAAGTATAATATAGTATCAAGTTGAAAAACTCAATCTCAAAATTATACATAAGTTTGTTTCTTGAGTAAATCTTTTTAATTACAATTCAGCACTGGGTATTTTGTCTTTATGATTCACACTTTATGATTCACACAACGACAGCTAAAGCTACGTCCAGTTATACATGTCACAAATAATTTACAATCAGACTCCTATTAAATGTCTTTCTATGTGTTCATGGCCTGTTTGTGTGTTTCTGTTTCTCCCCAGTAATCTACTGCTTTGTGTACTATCTGTGGATCGGTCACAACTACTGCTACGCCCATCTCGCCGGGTTCACTGCTCTGTTCTTGCTGCCAGGTGAGTAGAGATTACTCGACCTATCAATAGAAAGATTCAGATTGATATTAATACCATTCTATGGTTCCCAGGTTGGGTTCCTCAGTGGCTCAGTTACCTGTGGTACCTGTCCGATGGACGCATTCGCAGGAAGTCTCTCACCTGGACACATATACTGCACCTGGGTATCTTCAAAAGGTGGGTGGGCTTAACATGAGTGTAATGGAGATCTGTCAATATGGTCAATGATCAATAATTCTCAAACCATAAGTGATGGTAATACTGGACTGCTGGTTGGAGTGAGGGCATTTACAAGGATTAGAAATGGTGTATGGTTACGATAATGTCTCTCTCTCTCTCTCTGTCTCTTTCATGTGCGGCCTCCACAGGCTGTTGGAGTGTATGCATCTGCCTGATGAGGATTTGTATGGTGAGATCATGCAGCAGGCAGACGTATCTGCCTTACGACTCTTAGAGGCCTTGATGGTCACCCTCCCCCAGACGCTGCTGCAGACCTATGTGCTCATCTGTACTGATATAGGACTCAAATCTCCAGGTAAAGTGAATGAAGAAAGTATGAAGTATGTCTGAAACAGAACATTTAAATGTGTGTGTGGTGTTGAAAAGTATTTCAATCAGAAGAGACTTCAATTGAAAATGAACAAAATGTATCGCCATGAACACTAAGGAGGACGAACACTAGAGTGATGAAAACCACACCTAAACTCAAGTGCTGTGGCTTAGTTGGTTAAAGTGGCTGTCTAGTAAACAGGAGATCCTGGGTTCAAATCCCAGCAGTGCCTTTTGGGAGGCAGTAGCTCAGTCCGTAGAGACTTGGCTTGGGAATCGGAGGGTGGCCAAAATAGGTCTGGTAAACCCACTGTGTGCTAATTGTCCCGTTCATTTTCTTTCAATCAGACAACTTAAATATGTATTGCTACAGTAGAGCATGTTAGTGTTTGGCATCTAGACTCCAGCTTAATCACTCCCCCAGATATGACTACATAGATGTGATTTGGAGTGATGAGCAAATATTTATAACCCCCCGACAGAGCCTTCAGGTGGAAACCACCTAAATAATGAGGTGATTATGAGTTTGTATGTTTCAGTTTGAAAACAACTGTAGAGATTTGAAATATAAAGTACCAAACTGCAAACAAAGCCTATAAACATATCGACATATTTCCCTCAGGAATTGGTGGAGACCAAAACAGAGCCAAAAGAGATTGATTATATGGATTTGTTAGCTGGATTGAGGACAATGTTGCTCTGTGACTGCTTGATGTGTAAATAGGTTTTTGGTAATATGTTCACCATATGTCAGATGTTCTTCTTCAAATTGTTCAGCTGCTCCGATGTGTCCAAAACACCAATTATCGCAGCTTTAGCACTCATTAGAGTTTCCAGTGTGTATCTGCAGCAGCCTCGTATCTGTTGTACTGTGGTGTGTCCAGGTGTTGACACTTCTTTTCCTCTGTCCTCCTCTTGGATCTCTGTCTCTCCCCTCCAGCCTCGGTGTGTTTCGTGGTGTGTTTGCTGTCTCTTGCCTGGGCCTTGGTTCTCTACGCCAGAGCCTGTTCTCTTATCAGACCAGGTCACCTACAAATGACGCCCGCTGCAATTCTCTGTCGACTGCTATGGAGGGTGAGCATGTTTAAACACTTCAAACCAATATGTACAACATCCAGCCTCAATGTAACAGTACAGCTTAAGAATCCATATTTATTGGCCTGTTTTCTGATGTGTGAGGGGTTAGGATGTGACAGGGAGATTTTCTCTGTCTGCAGGTCGGTATGTTGGGATCTCGATTCGCTGTTCTCATGCTCTTCACACGTATCTTCAAACAGTGGATCCTGGGAGTCATTGGCAAGTTAAAGAAAAAGAAATAGTCATTTTTCTATGACATGAGCAGTTTGGTTTGTCTATAACAAATATTTACTGTTGTGTGTGTGTTTGTGTGTGTGTGTGTGTGTGTCAGGTGTGCACTGGCTGGGGGCAACTTTCTGGATGGTGTCTCAGCAGAGTGACATCATACGATCAACCAGTCGATGGAGAATCTTCAACCTCTTGCTGGGAGCCATTCACATCTTCCTCTTCCTCAACGTGAAATACGGTCAATCCAGATACCGCATGGCTGGTTTCTACCTGGTATGTTTAGAAATAAAAAGTTTTCATGTCAGCAAACATAAACGCTGATACCGATATGTCTGTGAAACAAATATGGGTGACAGCTTTTTGGAAGTGGTAACAATTTGTCTGTTTCTTTTTTGTCTTCCTCAGGTCATGTTCTTAGAGAACGCATTTCTTCTCCTGGCCTCATCCTGGATGTTTACCATGGTGTCCTGGGACACTGTTGGCATCCCAGCTGCAGTGTTCTGCAGCTTCCTCATTGGTTAGAATCACGGCCACATGCTGTAGAAAAACTTCATTCAGTATAAGTGTGCAAATCCTAACACACCTGTATCCACACCTGTATGTTCATGTGGCTGCAGGAACATTTCCTTCATTCACTCTTCAAGTCCTCCTCACTTCTTTTTACTTCTTCCTCTCTCTCCAGGAGTGATAGCGTTGGTTCTGTACTATCGTTTCCTCCACCCGAAGTCCTTTGAGATTTTCCAGAGTATTCGCCACAGAGGGATTGGTGGAGCCTGCACGGAGCGTGGGTCTACGCTCTCATTGGAGGAGAAAGTCACACCCACTTTCCATCGCCACGCAACACTGTCTGGTCTGTTTAAAGCTCCATTCATCCATACATCCATCCATCATCCATCCATCCATCGCTTTATATGACTCTGGTAATTCATATTATTAGGAGGTGGGACTCTCATGGACCTTCCTATCCAATGGGAGGGCTGGAAACATCACCACTGGCTGCTGATTCGCTTGGCCCTGAAGACAGGGGATGTAACAAAGATCTGGTCGGTCTACGGCGAGGGGGGACTGGCTGGGCTGATGGGTCTGTCTGAAGAATTTCACTCCCCAGACGAACATTATGTCCCTCGGGTGAGTTGCGCTCCTGATGTTGAAACTGTCCTGTGAAGGACTACGTTAACATTTTACATTTACATAACATTTTAAATTCACACGCTCTTTAAAGATGAACATTTGATCATTTGATGAACATATCTACTTTATCAACAATAGATGGGACTCAGGGACATTGTGTGTTTGTTTTTGGGTTTTTTTGTGATCCCAGGGAAATGCCATTTAATTCTGCCTTCAATGCTGTTGTATGTCTTGTACAATGAAGATAAAGTCTGATTTGATTCAGCAGAGAGTTCACATATCTAAATATGACAGTCTTTTATGAATGTGTAAAGTGGTTTCTTATTCTTTTTATTTGTGCTGTGATCTGTCAGGTTCCACCTGTTCAACCACAGGTTCCTCAGATCTCACATCCAGCTCCTCAGCCAGCTCCTCCACAGGTGGCCCAGGCTCCACAGGCAAGATCTTTATTGAAGTTATAATACGTTGTTATTCAATGTTAGAATAATAGGGTATGTAGTCTGGCCTATAGCAGATTTCCTATTTGCATCAACAGATTGTCCCACACTTACCATTGCATCGTAATCTACTTTAAGCAGCTGCACCTACTGCAGCTAGCCTCTTAACTTCATCACCCAATGAATCCTGGGATAGGTCGGCCACAGAAGGATCCACCTGTGGGATCCCTCTTGCTTACAAATGAAATACACATTGGTTCATTTGAAGGAGCCTTTTAAATGGCACAGCCTGACTATGTATAGGATTTGAAAATGTAGATGAATAAAGTGAAAGCATCATATAAATTGCGCACATTTTCAACGGGGTTGGCAAATTTTTTCAAACAAAAACTAATCAGAAACAAAATGCTTTTTCAAAAAATGTTTCAGTACAAAATTGATGTGAGAATGTTTTGCTGCTAGATTTTCTGTGAGAATACTTCATTTCGTCAGTCTACAGTCTGACACTCCGCCTAATGTCTTGTCTCCAGGTGAGAGAGGTGGTCCAGGCAGCAAAGCCTCCTCCCACCAGTGTGGTGGCCAGACCGGTGAGGAAAGCTCCCCCTACATCAATCCAGGATATGAGAAGGTTTCCAGAGATTATCCCGATCCAGGAGGTCATTCCTGAAGAGACTGCAGAGGAAGAGTCCAGTGCTCCACTATCAGATGAAAAAGGTTGGCTTCCTGATTAACTGCTAACATAGCAATGCACAAACTCTAAAACACTCGATGACCACAGAGAGATTCAACACTGCTTAGTCCTGCACTTGATCTTTAACAAAAACTCAACAATGCCCCTGTACAGTCTCAGTGTTAAAACGGTTCAATCATCAGACATCAGTGATTCATGCAAAGGATAAATATGGTTCTCTGTATGTGTTGTTAATCTCATGCAGTGGGAATAATGGTGAGAAATAGGTCTATTATTACTGATACTTTATATTCACTGTAGAGGTTTACTGTTCTATAAGAAGTGTGTGTGTTATTTGTGTGTATTATTTTCTTTTTTTCAAAGGTGATGAGGATTTTCAGAGTGCAGCTTATGGTTCACCCACACTCTCATCCCCTCTGCAACCAGAGAGCCTCCGCCACATTGACAGCAATGCTGCGTCCCTGACCCCGGCCTCGTCCTCCATAGCCTCTCTGGACATCAAGACTCCAGGCTGGTCACCTGAGCGACACTCCCCTCTGCTAAATACTTCCCCAGATAAAAGGCCTGGGATCCCTGGAGAGTCTAGCACCACACTGTACTTCAGCGCAGAAGCACACTCTCCCTCCAGTGGGAGCTATCTAGGCTGGGGCTCCGAGCTGTCGCCCATCTCCACCTACCGAAGTCCCTACCGGATCAGGGAGGCTCGTTTCGTCACATCCACCCCACGATTGGAGCCTCGAACTGGGGCTGAAAGTCCAAGTCCAGCCTCTGTTGTCGTGATTCCTGCCACTCCAGGTACAACACCGGGCACCACCCCCCGTGCTTCCACCCCTGCTGCCTCTACATCTGGTGCTTCAACACCCGCAGCTTCAACACCCGCTGCCTCAACCCCCAGTGCATCCACTCCTGGTGCTACTACGCCCAGTACTCCAGTCATCCCACTCACTCCAGTCATCTCCCACGCTCGTAAACAGCTGGTCCAGTTTGTGGACAGTAGAGAGAGGGCGGTGTAAGGAAGGTTGGGGGGTGGAGGGGATGGGAAATCCTAGGTGGGGAATGGACTTTTTTTTTCAGTTTAGCAGTTGAAGATAAACCTCACTTTCTCCTTTAATTACTAGGGAAAGGCTCAGTGGTTGAGTTTATTTATTTGAATCGGTTATTACAGAATATGAAGTATGATCTTTTTTATACCCTTACATGCAGATTAAGATGTTTAAATAGCAGAAAATTTAGATGCATGGGTGACACAATGGCAAAATACCTGAAGACCTCTGTAGGGATGTTGGTCGTGTACAATGTTGCTGCCCTAGCTGCTCCTGGTGGATGCAGCTACACGAGGAAGGCTTGAATCGTATGAACCTGCTCAAATATGATGCTCTTTGCAGGCTGGGGGGGGGGGAAACATGGGTTGTAGGGGGACTCATGTCTCCAATGCAGACGATCAGAGGTGGTAACAGTGAACTATAGATGAAATCTGGGTTAGCCATCAATAGAAACTTCTCACAGGTGCTAATAAATGTGGAGCATCGTTTTCATTCAGTTAGATGAAACCTCTCACTTAATTTTTAATAATGGGAAACTAAACAGAGAAAACCCAAAGCAGTGACGTGGCGTGTTGGGGAAGTGCAGAATTAATCAAATTCATTCGAAAATGAATCATTCAAATAATGGGGCGTTGTGTTGACATGATATAAGCAATCATGAGAATCGAGGCAAAGTTTATGAAATTTCTTAATGACTAAGATTTTTCTAAATGATCCAGGTAATTAAACCAGTTTACAATAAGAAAACATGCTGCCAGGCTGCCGTGCAAAGTCTCTTCTATAACGGCACTCGCCAAACCTGACTCTTTTTTAACTGGTGAGATTAGTCTTTATGTGATCGCCTCGTTTTGTCTGTAGAACAGATTTCACTCTTCTCCGACTGATCCATCAGTTCCATGTGGCTTTGGATAGAATCATCTAAATGCAGTGTGTTACAATGAAACCAATGATCAGTTGTGACCGCAATGAGAAACAATGACACATTTTCCTAAATCTTAAGATGACATTCAGCATCTCTCCCAGTTTTCAGGCAGCATTCATCAATCAGACTGTTACTCACTTAATTTACACAACACAACATGATTGATGTTAACACAAGTTACTTCCATACACACAGAGATAGAGGCCTGAATTTACTCTCTGTAAAATAGTAAAAGGTTTTAAGGAAAACCATTTTATGAATCTTATGTACACTTTCATGTCGGTCCGTCAGCACTTTAAAGCAGAAAAGTTGAAGCTAATGTTTGTCACGTTAGCCACCAGATGGCTCTAGCTTGATATTCTTCAAACAGCACTATTATTAGTATGTTGGAATTTAATTAAGCAATATAGAAAATTACAGGAATATCAACTGATGGTTATTTTATTATATTTGATTGTATTTTTCTGGTGATCACATTAATTTATCTATAAATATATAATGTTATAGTTATACAATTATATAGTTATATAATGAATATATATGTATATTATACAGCAAAACATAAAATAAATAAATATACAAAAAATAATTAGACAACTTACTTCACCATTCACAGACAAGGAATTTTTAGAGGCGAAGAAATTAAATATAACAATGAAGGGATCATTTCTGCAGCAGAACATAATTAATGATTGTGTTGTATTTTGAATTTTTGTTTTAATTATTGAAATGTATGAATGATGACGGTATATATATATATATATAATATGTGATACATGAGTAGCAGCAGTTTTTCAGTCATGTGTGCTGATAATGTCAAATATAACAGCAGCAAACCTTTGCTCAGATGGAAGTTTACGACCAATGGTGTTTTTCTGACTAAGCTTTTGTCCCAAATTCATGATCTGCGGTTTTTTTTATTTCAGTGTGTCTGTTATTTTGTTATATCTATTTACTGAAGTTGTTTTTACTGACGAACACACAGAACAGAAATATCACTGTGAAGGCAAATGTAGAAACAATGTATTTGCCTTGTGAAGGAAATGAAACATGTAACTGTGAAACAAGGTCCTCAAAAGTCCAGCTGCTGTAAAAAATAGGTGATGTCCGTCTCTGTTGATAGTGGAAATATCAGTTCTCAGTTTGGTGTTGAATCAGAAACAACTTCCACACATGTAGACAATCAGTTGCAGTAAGCATTAAACATACAATTGTTTTTGTTGTTTAATTGTGCCCCTGTAAAATGCTTCCATAATGCTGATTATCCGGAATTATTATTAATATCCTTCTAAAAATCACATCCAGTAAACACTAATGCTAGTGCTGAATGAATTGCTGTAACTCGAAATGAATGTGTTCTACATAACAGGAAAATCTCTAAAACATTATAAAAAAATCAAAATATTTTTGATCATGTAAAGAGCAGAATGTAAAATGTTGCATTAAGGTAAAGATCACGTGCTGCTGTGGGTTTCCAGTTTGGTGAGAGCCAGTATTATGTCATGTTATAATTTGTATTATTATTTATTTCAATAAGTCATGTTAATCAAAGAATGTAGTGTTTACATATATCAGTCTTCCATGTATAGTAGTCTTTTTTTCAGTTTTTTTCCTAAACCAAGCTTTTTTATTTTACTTGTTTTTAAACCATATAACAAATATAAAGTAAAGTCTCTGATAAACAATTTAATTGTTGAGGATATACTGTAAATTCACTGTTATGGAACAAAGGCTAGAGAAAAACATGCTTTTGGCAGAACAGGCTTATCAGACCTTGTCATGTCCATGTACTTTGACCTGCTGATAGAAAAAGGATTCCCTGCATGTTACTCATTCGTACGGGCAACACAGATGTATCTATTCCCATAGAGAAAAAAGTCCCAACTGTAACTACACACACAATCACGTCACAGTAGTTAACACACATGCTTGGATGTATGTGAATGCAGAGGCAATAAGGAAGCTAATGATATGTATATTAGTGCACTGATAAAAAGATATTTTAGTGAAGTCTTGGCTTGATCATCATGAATCAGCGCTTTGCTTTGCAGAAAGCTTGTTTCATGTATGTGCTTTACATTAGCACAGTATAGGCTTTGATTTGTGTTCCTGGTGTGTGTGTGTGTTGATATTCACTTGTGTTTTCTAATTTGACTCATTTTGTATTTTGAAAAAATGTCTGCTTTTATAATCGATCACATGTAATGTCCTGAGATGAACCAGGGTGCAGTGTTTCCAGGTCGTGTGCTAACGTTTCATGTGTGAACTTGTGGTCTAGAGACACTGACAGGCTGGAGCTACCTAACGTCACCTCGTCGCTGGACGGCCTCCACTTATCAACATGCAGCACCTCATCTGTAGCTATTGATGTGACAAATAAATAAAGTCATTAATCATGATCAGAGTGGTGTGTTGATCAGCCTTCAGTCATTTACCATCAGTTTTATCATGAGCTTTGGACACAGGTACAGATGTGACTCAGTGAGTCTAAGTCCAATCAGTATTGGGATGGCTGTGCCTAAGGATGTAGAGCGGGTTGTCCACAGACCGGAAGGCCCGTGGTTTGATACCAGATATTCCGTGTGCTGAAGTGTCCCTGGGCAATATACTGAACCCCCAAAATGCTCCTATTCCATTATGTGTGATACATACTTTAGATGCACTGTATAAAAAACAGTTTTAAGAAAATATTATAGAAATACAAACAATTTAGATGATGATCACAATGTCACAGCAAACACTGTTACGATGAAAATTCTGTGTTGTTAATGTATTAACCGGCCAGAGGAGCCAAGTCGTTACCCACTATTCTTCCAAATTTTCCCTCTGCTGTGTACAGTATTGCTACGCTGTCATACTACATGACTCGTGTTTGCTTGCAGTATTTTAATTGTTATAGTAGTTATTATTATTATAGGTTTGTTATTCTTATAGGATTGTGCAAATCATCTGATATGATGTCTCAGGGCTTGTCTTCATCAGAGGAACTCTATCTCAGGTATGAATGCACAATTCATCATAAGGGCCTATCATGTAAGTTGTGTTTTAATTAACACAATTCAATACAACTCTGTTTATTCTTGCAAATATGCAGCAGGTCAATAAAGACACTCATGATAAAGACTCTGACATTTGTGAAATAAATAATAAATACTTTACGTAACTAGAATGCCACTCAACAGATTGCTTACTGCCACTAAGGTAGAACTCCTGTATGTGTGTGTGTGTGTGTGTTTTAATTGACACAGAAGTGTGTACTTTTGTCCGAAGTGGTGTTGGTCAGCTCCTGATATAAAAATCCTGATTAAAGCTATTGTGAACTGTCTGTGCTGTGTTTTCCCCATCTCATCATTTTAAAAGTCAGATGACAGTCTCATTAGGAAGAGAAAGCAGTTACACAACCAGTCTGTGGTCGGTGATCCACAGCACGACACAGCAAACAGAGGTCTTCATCAGCTGTCAATCACAAGATACTTCTAAAAAAGTAAAACATGACAGTCAGGGATAAATGAGGATTAGTCTGCATTTGCTGCTGTGCATGCATTATTTAGAAAGGTCGTCTTCATCAGTGCAGGATTTGGTGTTTTTGAACATTCTCACTGATTTTCCAGAGAATGATTCATGGATCTTGATGAATAAAAACCAGGCATGTTTGGGAAACTGTGAGTGTGTGAGGTATGAGCTCTACAGAGACGTTACGGTTTAAATCACTTTCCCTGGGATTCAATAGGCCTTTTTGTTTGTTACTTATTTTCTCATTTCTATATTTTGTTTCAACATGTTTAAAATAAACGAATAACTTGAACAAATAAATACATGAATGAATGACCCCTGTTGAGGCAGCTATTAAACTTACAAGGTTAAATCTGAAAATACAGTGGTGACCACCTAGCGGTCATATTAAAGCATTGCAGCTCCACTGTGTCCCACACTCATCAGTACGTGTGTTTTCAGTCAGTCAGTCCAATCTAAAGATGATCGTTCTCATCCAGACACTAAACAAACAATCTACAGTAAACCTGAGGTGTGCTGCTGCTGCTGCTGCTGGTTTGGGGGGGGGTCGTCACTGATCACATGATCGCTGCTCATGTGACTGTGTCACGTGGTTTGCGGGATAAATGATCAGGGACCATCTCACTGTAGCACACTTTGTTTTCCAGTGTCCCGGAGTCAGGACGCAAAGATTCAAGATCACACAGACACACAAACTACAGGTGAGTGGTTTTATTTACCACACTGATTTATATATAGTATATATTTGTTGCCTCAGTGTGTGGCGGTCACTGTGGACACGGTGTTCAGACTCCACGCTGATTCAAAACAAAGAGCAGTTTCACTCTGTGCTGTGTCAGCTCCCATGTTACATGTCTGATGCTTGTTTTTCACTGGCTCGCCCACTTCCGCCCCAGAGGTGACATGCGCTACAAACAGGTCTGAGCGAAATCTGACTCTAACAGGAGAAATAACTTAATATCCAAAGTCAAGTGATTGTGAAACATCTCGCCGAAGAGTCAAGCAGAGCGAAACAGGAGATTGGAAAGTGAAAGTGAGATTTTATAAGAGTTAGAGGCAGCAGAAGGGACAAGGTTAGTTCTACAGATTTATAAATATACCTGTGATACATCAGAGAGGAAGGAAACCTGCAACTGAAACTGGTGAACATTTTAAATAACATGACTGTAGCTACAACCCAGTTTTGAGTCCAGGCTGTAATAGTCCAGAACTGTTCCAATCAGTGGGAAAAAAAGGTTTTTACATGTGCATAGAAAGTACATAGAAACAGGGTTTGACTTTTTTATTTGGATACTTCTTGCGTCACGAGCCCTCATGTGAGCAGGCCTGTGGTTCTGTGAGGAAGGAGGAAGTTAGTTTTATTTATCACCACAAAGAAAAAACACAAATGAGTCAGACAGTCAGCGAACAGCTACATCTAGCGTGTCCCATCACAGACCACATACAGGTGAGAGATTCAAACATGCAAAGTGTCTTTATACCTTTAAACCTTTCCAGCAGTTTGTATAGGAGGAACCCAGAGGGACTATAAAACATGAGAAGTACCAGTACAGTCTATTTGCCTTTTCCCTTCCTTGTTGTACGGAACAAAATAAACATTATTCCTGTAGCTTTTATTTCAAAAACGGAACTTTCTCCTCCTTGTTGTTGTTCTACCTGTGGAAGTAAGAGCAGCTGCGAGTGTTGAAATCTTTCCACTCAAGCTTAACGCCCTTCTCTGCAGCCTGGCTCCTCATTAAGTGTTGTGTATGGACATTATTTTATTGCATCTATGTTTTAATCTTTCTTTCAATTTCATTTTAGCTTTTGGAATCTATTCTTTGTTTTTTCACTGTCAGCTTTTTTATTTGCTTTATGCTCATGACTGGTTCATTAGTCAACTGCAATATTCTGCAAGAAGGTGCTTTACAAACGAAGTTTGGTTGATTGATAATAGTGATCAGTGTTGGGTCATGTTTAGCGTAGATGTTTAAAAATCCCCAATCAGACATGAATAAATATACAGAGGAAGTGCTACGACAGAAACAAGTGTCTCCAGCTGCAGTCGACGATGAGGATCATTAGTTCTACTTGTAAAACTTGGTCACGGTCTGAATCCGTCTCTCTGTAGCTTTGTTGCTGGTGGCTTGATCTGAAACCTCCCACACACCAAAAATGGCCTCTGTTTCCACGAAGCTCCACTAAGAATCTGTTGGTTTGACATTTTAGAGGTGTCAAAAGGCTCTCCACCATGACTCAGCAAGTTAGTGCAGCCTGAGTGAGTCTGGGATATGACGAACATCTTCCAAATAAATGAAGATGGTACTTCTCCAAATCACATCCCCTTTATTGTTTCAGGAGGGGTGCGGTCGAACCACTTCTTTAAAAACGGATGTAAAAAATACTCTGATGTCTTGTGCTTTTCTTGTGGCCCACACGTAAGCTGCAGTTTGTCCATAGTCATGTTTTCAAGCTTTCCATTGTCTGCACACAGTTGGTATCTCATGCAGAATGTAGATGGTTTAATGCCACAGAAATCAGCACAGGCACCAGAATAAAAATAACTTTTTACCTCCAACAAGTTAAAGACCCAATGACGTCTGTCTACAACTAACATGTAACCATGATCTAGATGTTGACAATATAGAATATGATGACAGAATATGATGTTTTAAGAATAAGATCGTGGTATTAAAGTTGGAGAAATGATGGTGGCTGATTGAACAATGTCACGTTGTGTGTCAGTGATCCTGTGTGATTTTCTGTTGTTATTTCCCTCTGAACCTTTTGTTCTTGTCATTTTCTTGTTTTCATGTTTTTTTTTTTTCTTTGTTCTTAAAGACCTGAGGGTTTTTTTATTGGAATCTCTTCTGCTTTCTTCAAAAGTGGAGACATGGCATGCCCAGACAGATGTGCTGACTTTTACAGGTTGTCACCATCTTTCTCTGTTTCTCCTTGTCACAAAATGTTGTTCTGTTCAGGCCGTAGCATTGACTCATATCCTCATGTGTTGTCCTTATATCAGGGTTATATGAAGCTGCATGTTAGTTCTTCTCATTGTGTTTATAAAGAAGCACAGTATCCTCACTGCTATTGATTCAGCAGGACTCAGCTTCTCAGTGTAATAATCTGGAATATAATATCTAATGGACCTGATCTCAACTCTCACTAATGCATCTGGTCTCTGGTGACCTGGTCTTTGCTGTGCAACAGTGACGGCCTTGTGTGAACGCAAATACAGTAGTTTTGCATATTATTCATTAGTATTATAAGTCTATTCCTTATGTGAGCATGTAGATTTAATTCCAATGAATTTGAAGCTTTGTATGTTGTTTGTTGTACATGTTTGCTGATGCGGTGAGTTTAACCTCTGGAAAACACTCCACACCAGCATGACTGAGGATAAGAGGTTTTATTCTGCTCTGTGTGTCGGGGAATGCATGTTCCCCTTGTAGCCGCAGCCACTGTGACACTGTCCAGTCATGTGTGTGTCAAGATGTATATAAGTGTGGAATATCCTGTACTGATGCATGGCATTACATTTTCTCACCCTCAAACTCTCCACAAATGTGAATGTTTTTTTCCCCCTCTTGACTTCTTTGTGAATCTTTGTGGAGTTTTCATTAACGCCCCCATTTCCTGCTGATATAGTGTCTCTTACATTTGTATTTCAGTAATTTCCTTATCTTCTCTGTCTTAGACGCATCACATTTGGTCTTTTAGCTTGAACCCTAGCTTCTGTGGATCAGGAGGTAGTAGAGGGTCGTCCACTAACCATACAACCATAGGTTCAATCCCAGGATCCTTCAGTCTGCATTCCTAAGTGTCCTTGTCAAGTTATTGAAGCCCAAAGTTGCCCCTGACGGCTATGCTGATGTAGTGTGGTAGATGCTGCATATAGAAGCTTTGTATGAATGTGTGTGTGAATGGGTGAAAGCTACTTGTAGCGTAAAGAGCTTTGAATGGTCGATTAGAATGAAAAAGTGCTATATACAGTAAATATAGTCAATTTATGGGAAGGTTTCATAATTTAAATCAGAATTTATATAATTTCAACAGCTCATAGTAATAGTAATGTGAATAGCCAATTTACGGATGTCATCTATTTTGTGTCTTTCAGACAAAATGTGGCGTGCAGCCCTTCTGTTATTGGCTGCGGGCGTGTCTCTGAGCCTGGCCAGACCCCACCTCCAGCCACTGTCCAGTGAAATGGTCAACTACATCAATAAGTTGAACACTACATGGAAGGTGCGTTTGTTTCTATTCTTACAGTATGTTGGACTTCTGTCAGTGCTCATAATCAGTTGTATTTGACTAAATGTCCCGTCTCTCCTGCAGGCTGGTCACAACTTCCATAATGTCGACTACAGTTATGTGCGGAGACTCTGTGGAACGATGCTGAAGGGACCTAAACTCCCAATCATGTGAGTCTCACTTATACACAGTCTGTCGCTGAGTGTGAAACACATGAGATCCACGTCAGCTTAGTATTACTCGCATATTAGTGAGGGTGAGTACTGTTGTTTTGTATATGCCCCCAAAATGTACACGTGTACTTTTGCTTGGAAACAGTGTTTTCAGACTCTGTATAATCACCTGCATCAAATCCGCTTTTCATTTCAGTTCCATGTTTTAGATAAGTAGCTCACAGTCGTACTGTTTTCCTCTGCAGGGTTCAATATGCTGGAGGCCTGAAGCTGCCTGCAGAGTTTGATGCCAGAGAGCAGTGGCCTGAGTGTCCCACACTGAAGGAGATTAGAGACCAGGGCTCCTGTGGATCCTGCTGGGTGAGGGGGGGCTCACTGCTCTAAAGAAGGGACATTATAGCCGTTTTCAGACATGACCTGTGGGTAAAGTCTGGAGAATTGGGTCTGAAGTTTACCCAGAGTTTGCCATTCACACATGCGCAACACAGCAGGAGGTTCTCGGCACAGACATATTCACAACAGACACAAATTGCAATCTAAAAAGATTGACAAACGATGGACATACGACACCCTCTATCCTTAAATCTTCAAGTTATCACAAAGAAAAGAAATTTAAGGGAGTGGGGCAGGTTACCAATATTTCTGGCTATGTATGGATGTACTATAGTTTGCACCCTACTTTAGGGTGTAACCTTGCTTATTGTCATTTGGTCACATTTAGACTCTTTCCCTGTTTTTCCGGGTTATATGTATGTGTTTTGTGACGTACTTTGATTTTTCTGATCACAGGCATTTGGTGCTGCAGAGGCCATCTCCGACCGTGTGTGCATCCACAGCGGTGGCAAGATCAGTGTGGAGATCTCCTCTGAGGATCTGCTGACCTGTTGTGACTCCTGTGGCATGGGGTAAGAAACAGGATGTCTGAGCAGTTTCACTACTTTCAATTGTGACCTACTCCACGAAGACTGTAATCCAGAGGGTGATTAGGAAGAACTGTCAAAGTGTCAGTGTCACACTAATATGTCCTGGTAGGGGAAAAGGTTGAATTGTTCATCCTAATATTTTACAGTGTCAACAGTTTGGAAGGAGAAGCAGTGAGTGTTTATTGGTTTGTCAGTTCAAGGTATAAAAACTTGGGAAACGCATGTTTTTATTTCCCCCTTTGTCTTAAGATGTAATGGTGGTTACCCCTCGTCTGCCTGGGACTTCTGGACTAAAGAGGGACTGGTCTCTGGAGGTCTCTACAACTCCCACATTGGTACGTTAATTATCTGTGAGGCTTCTACACTGTGTGTGTGCGCGCGCGCGTGCTAGTTCGTACAGTTCTGACTCCATCTTTGTGTCTACAGGTTGCCGGCCCTACACCATCTCCCCCTGTGAGCACCATGTGAATGGCAGCAGGCCTCCCTGCACTGGAGAGGGTGGAGACACACCTGAGTGCATCTCCCGCTGTGAAGCAGGATACTCTCCCAGCTACAAACAGGACAAGCATTATGGTAAGAAAGGCAGAAGAAAGATATTATAAATAATTACCTGGTAAGGATTTTGTTCAAGAGTGTTTTCATTCATCTTATTCATTTACATTTGTTTTGAATCTGTTGATAAAATCAGTATAAAGAATAAAATGGCAATTTATTTGTTGACATGTGTAAGAGACCATATTGTTCACATACATAAATGGTTGTGTTAAGTTTATTAGAAATTCAGGCTGCTCAGTCATTGTTTTAATAATTATTGCTCTTGTTATTCAAATCCATTATCAGTAGTTTTATAAATATAACCTGGTATACATTTAAACACTCCTTGACTTGCACATACAGAGTATCTATTAAATATCTGACAAAATTAAACTGTTTATGTCTCAAAATGCCAAACCCTAATGATGGTGAACAAGCACACACACTTACTCTGAGTGTTGCAGGTAAATCGTCCTACAGCGTGGAGGGGAGTGTGGAGCAGATTCAGGCTGAGATTTCCAAAAATGGTCCAGTAGAAGGAGCCTTCACCGTCTATGAAGACTTTGTGATGTATAAGTCCGGTAAGAACACAAGCACCACTGTCAGACTGAAAGTGTAAATGTAAGTAATGCTGCTTCATACTCGGTACAGGGTAATTGCTGACTGTGGCTTTTGCTCAGTGTTTTGATAAAATGTTGTTTCTGATGTTCTCTCTCACTATTGCCTTGTTTTTTTTGCCTTTCCTCCAGGTGTGTATCAGCATGTGTCTGGATCTGTTCTGGGTGGTCACGCCATCAAGGTCCTGGGTTGGGGGGAGGAGGATGGCATCCCTTACTGGCTCTGTGCCAACTCCTGGAATACTGACTGGGGTGATAATGGTGAGCAGAGACATGTTTTCTTGTTTAAAACATTGTACCAGTGTAAATAATACATTCATTGATGGCATGTGGCACTTCTCCAAATTCATCTTATGGTTCACAAGATATGTTATTTAACTAGAGTAGTCCTATACAGATAAGTCAGACTTAATGTTGTGTACACCATTAAAATGCATGGAGGTTACCACATAATAAATCAATTTGCCTTATTTTTTGTTTTAAATCAGACATACAATGCCCGCATGAAAATACGATACAAAACCTAATACAACCCCCCAAAACAACAAAAATGAAACAATTCAATAATTATTACACTTCAAATAGAAGTCAATGATCCATTTAATAATTAAAAATAATCAGATTTACAATACCAGTACATCTAGATACTGAGATAAACGTATGACACATTCAAACTCCCACATACAGTAGTCTCGCAAATGTTCTCCCACTTCATGTTGTGTTGTGCCGCCATGGTTTGAATTGTAGTAATTATAAAACATTTACCTTGTAAAATAATTGTATGTATTATTTAGGGATAGCTCTCATCCAAAACTGTTGTGTTGACTGTTATTTGTATCTGGTCTTCAGGTTTCTTTAAAATCCTGCGTGGGTCAAATCACTGTGGTATCGAGTCTGAGATCGTGGCAGGCATTCCCAAATAAACCCTGAGGTAAGACAAAAAACGAACAATGGCCTCAAACCAAAATGTTTACTGCATGCATGTAAAGTAAAACTCTAATCTCATTAACTGACTGGAATGCATGGATTAGTATTTGCACACAAACCTCACTGATCTGAATTAGCTCACATTTCTACCTCATTGTCTCCCATTTCATGTCTGAGAGGCTTTGGTCTCAATAAATGTTTAATGGTGTGAATGTGACCTCACTGGCTCTGTCTTTGTCTTGCAGGTTGTTAGCAGCAGTGGCCATTTCAAATCACTAGAGGGTGACACACTCCTGCTTTTAGTAGCTATACATTTAAAGTCTACTGATAATCTTGCACAGATGGTGCGAGATTCTTTCTACAGCAAACTGAATAAATTCAATAGTAACCTTCACTTCACGTAGGTGGATTAGCAGATTGGGTATGACAGCAACAACGTGTCTGAGCACAGATCAATAGGTTGAATTCAAGGTGGTTCTGTGAACGGTCTTGTTCTTTAATTTTTTTCAAGGATAATCAAAGTTGCACATGAAGAAAATGTTTTTTAAAGACACATGTACATTTCATTTCAGGTGATTTGCAGCTGATTCAATGTGTTCCCCTGTTGTCACAATTTGTTTCTGCACTGACAAGAAAAAACTGAGCTTTTATAGAAATACAGCCCCTAATTTTTTATTTTTTAAAAGTAATCATTGCTTTCGTGCAGACTGACAGTTTTTTAATTGAATTGTTCTTTAATTTTAGTGCTACAAATGCCACTCTACAATATCTGGAAATATATCTTAAAACTGCTGCCTGTTAGTGTTTTTAAACTTTATTATCTGATGAAAAAGTGACATTTTTTTTACAATGGTTCGAAATGAAATTGGGGGTGTCTTTGTCTGCCTGTAGCCAAGAAATATTGGCATACTACTGTTCAGAATTAAATAAAACATTAATGGTTACCAGTATGGTGTTATTCCTCTTGAACATGCATGCTAGATTCAATTCCTACCATTTAGTCTGACTGACATGAAGCGTCTTGCACAAAATAGGGTTGAATCATCAAGAAAATGTGGGTCGGGTGTGAAGGTCAAATGGGTAAGTAGGTATGAGTCAGAAGTATTCTGATGGTAGATGATAAACATTGTTGTTCTCTGCTGCATTTACATTTTGAATCCAGATCTTTTGCTGAGGTAAAAGTAGCAATATGATTGTATAGAAATTAAAAAGTTACAGTAGCTGTATTCAAAACTTAAAAGGGAAGTATCCTCAGTGTAGAGCTGCCTGTTGTTGCACTGGTTTTAACGACCAATGCATGAATATTTACATCACTGTAATGTGGCAGATGGTGAAGATGTGGCTTATATTTACGTTATATTAAAATATATCTGCTTTATCTACAACACACGTATAAAGGTACGTCACAATAAAAGGGGTTGAATGGGTTTGTAAAGATAACCCAGAGTCAGCTGGGATAGATCATTGACTAGAAGATTGTGCTTTAGAACAAACTTTATTGAAGCGAAGAAACTAACTATACTAAAAAGTATAAATGGGTTAAAATGTTGGAGAAGATCCGACTTCTTCGTCCTCTTCCGCCTTGTTGTCATCAAAACAAACACTCCCCTTGGTAGTAGAATAAAAAGTCCGCCTGTTTTGTTCACCAGCGTCCGCCCCTCACCAACCCGCACAGCGGTGTACAGATTAAAACACACAAGTAAAAAGAAGCTAACTTGTGAGCAGCTGTAGACAGAGGTTCTTAACGACACGTGGTTTACAGAGACAGAGTTTGTGTTTTTATTTATCGCTAAAATCTTAGATTCAGTTAAGTTTCCGTCCAGCTGTGGGACACTCCGGTTCACAAAACAAGCGTCCACCGCACCGCCGGACTCTGTACTGGTGGACGGAGCGGCTTCCCCTCAGACTGAGCGACTGCAGCCAGCGATGGAGGCAGGAAACCGGGTGTCCTGGGTGAAGTACGGGCCTGTGGTGTCCCTGCTGGTGGTTCTACTGGCTATCTGGTTCCGCTCACCCCAGAATGAGGTGCTGGACGACCGGCTGGACACGGTGCTGTCCTCCCTGCTGCGGGCGGAACAGAAAGTCGGCGTGAACGACGTCGCCAGACCGAGAGTGGCTGTCGGTGAGTGTTGGGAGCTAGCTAACGTTAGCTAGCATAGCCTGGCTGGAGACACTCATGGTGACTCTGGGTTTTTATGAACGATCTGTCCCGAAATGAAAATACATTTGAAAAAATGCTGCAGATAAAATGAGGTTGATGTTAATTGGCAAAATCAAATCAAACGTAGTTAACAGAGTTATCTGTGCTCGTTGTAACAGTTAAGCTCATGTTGACGTTATCATATATCTAGAGAGGGTGATTGTATGTGTATAAGAACTAAATTAGCTACACAATCTGTGTTGTTGGTTCACATACTGTTAGGAAGGAGATTGAAAACAATTTTGCTATGTTCAATCTACACACAGTGAAGAGTCATTCAATGATGAAAAGGAGGATGACGTTTCACAGGTGTGACTATGGATGATCTGCAAAGTCATCAACACAGTGTTTGATCAGCTTCACAAACATTTGGTTGAGAGAGGACTGAAACTAATTGAGTTCAATCTGACGAGTGTAAAGGCAAATATGTCGTTGGTCTATAAGGTTCCCTAGTTGTGGGGTATTGACGCATCATTTCTGGATAGTAGGAGAGGAGATGCTTCATCCATCTTTATATACAGTTTATGTCTTGTACCCACATCTGCTGAGCTCTTCCTCCTCTGTTAACAAAGTGCATTAAGTACTTTTAAGAGGTGGGATTCATTACCTGAACATTACATACTGCTTGAGACAGGCTTCAGTAAACATGGTCATTAGTGCGATCGATCTGTGTCTCCTCTGTCATAATCTTATCCCCAAATCTTGTCCTTTGAACCATGATGCAGTCACACTGCAGAAGTGATCAGCATATCTGTTCAACCTTTACTCACTTCAACAACTGGCTCAACCACTACTGACAAATTCCTCTGTAGTGCTATTTGGACTAAATACAGGCTTGTTGACATTCAACAAAAAGCACAACAAAATGCACCACATGAGGACAAATACATGGGTACATTTCACTTAAAACTAATTGTATAGATTGCTGGCAAAGAAGACATATGAGACATATGTTTGATTAAATGGATGAGATTGAACCAGCAGACAAATATCACTCTGCCATCTTGCGTCGATGACGTTATTTGGAGCCAAAGTCTGCAAAGTAAAGATAAGGGGATGGAGCCTCGGTGTTGAGGTCCAGCAGATAACCACGGTCCATCTCATCTTTTCCCACATGTTGGCCCAAGACGTTTGGTTGTAAACCTCCATGTTTTTATTTGACATCTAATAGTGTTTTTCTCTCTGCTCTTCATCCACAGGTTTTGGAGGTTGTGTTGACCTGATAGTAGATGGGGTGACATTGCTCAATAAGATCGGCCTTCCTCTCACAGAACAGCCCCTGCATCATGACTACATAGAAAACATAGAACAGTTGGCTGAAAGCTTTGCCTACTTCTTCGCACCTGGAGCAGCTGCAGAGTAAGTGGGGCTTGTTTTCATAAGACCTGACATTAATAGTTCATGTGCTCATGCAAATATTTGAACGCTTTAATTTTCTCTTTGCTGGAACTGGTTATATGAGTTTTCCTCTTTATATGCAGCATCTGTATGTGCACTCACAATCCAACATGAATGTGTCAATCAATCAAATAGAACTCTTTATTCCATCATCTTTTAATTTTCTATCTATTTTCCATACAAAGTAATTTGGCCAAGCAAAAGTTATGTGTTTTCAAATCCTCTTTGTGTGAGTTTCATGCGGGTCTGTTTTGCGTCATTATTGTTAATCAGTTAGTTTCAGTCTTTCTTATTATTATGTAGTTAAACTCCTTTCCCCTCTTTTTTATGTCACTGTTGTTCCTGTTCTGACGCTTGTGAGCCCTTGTTCGTTGTCTGAACTTATGCCTAAAGGCAACAAGCCTTATCCAATCATCAGTATGGGCAAGAGCCTTTGTGTGAGAATGAGAGTGAATAATTTAGTTTAAAAATCTGTATTAGCCACAGAAACCAGGTCTTTCTCAGTCTTTAGTTATTTCTCTGGTCCCTTTCTTTAATGTTATCTCAGGGAGCTAAGGATTAGGAATACTTTGTTACTGCTGTTCACCAGATGTTGATTAAACTTGAAGGCAGTCTGAGATGTCATTTTAAAGCACTTAATCCAATAAAAAGAACTTAATGTGATGTGTGCTAACAACAGAAGAGAGGTTTGGGTTTGTCGAGTTAAATGCTTAATAAAACTGCTTTTAAAACTTCCTTCCCTCTACCTACCCGACACATCTGTTGTCTTTTTCTGGCATATCTTTTTTGTGAACAAACACGCATTTCTTTACTTCTGTCCGAAAAAAGTTCTGCTTCTTTCGTTTCTCTTGTCCTTTATTTATCTTGATGTACTTGACGTATGAAATTTTGCATTCAAGCTCAGACATGTCAATATCTTCTGCTGTCAATCTATCTTCATGTATAAAACAAGTCTGTCTTGTTGCTGTAAGGCAAACTTGCAGTAATTGCACTCTTGTTTGAAAAGTAAATGGGAAAGTTGCTGATGTCGGGTTTTGGTCTCTCAGTTTAGAGTTTGTTTCACTGTGCTTTAATTTCTTTGTGTTGCAGGCGTTTTATGCTCAACGACACTCTCTTTAATGAGCTGGTCGAGGCGTCCCGTGACATACCTGGGAACAGATGGGCTGTTGGCGGCAATGCTCCAGTAATGGCTGGTCGCATGGCAACTGAGGGATGTGATGTATTGCTAGGGGGAAGCTTTAGCCCGGAATTTACAGAGGTCCTGTCCCAGCACATCACAGGTAAACACAAAAATGCACACTGGCAGACCCTTTTCTACTTTCCAGCAAATATCCGTCTTCTCACATTTATTTCCCACAATTTTTCTTTATCCATGATTTTCCCCCTCTTTATTTTCTATTTCCCACTCCTGTCCTCTCCTCTGTCTTTGCAGTGGCAGGCAACATTGTTGAGGAGCCGGACATTCACCTGATCCTCGAGTATCCATCTGGAGCAAGATGGGGGCACTACACCTCCCGAAGAGCCAACAGGTATGTTAAGCATTTGGTGGCCTTTGAGGGAGGATTCATAGACGGTGTGTATATGAGTGCTTATATTAGAGCTGCACAATATATCAAAAATGTTGCGATATCAACTTATATACGTACTGCAAAAGACAGCTTGAACTGCTTGAAGTGGTATTCTATGTGCCAGGCATTCATGCTCTGCATGTCAATATATTTGGCCAATCAGATGGAGTCCTGTGTTCCCTAGATGATAAATTAAAGATATTCAGATATTTGACTGTTTTTTCTTGCATAGAGAATTGCCAGCCACCTCCATCAAATTTCGTGCAGCCTCCCAAGAAAATTCTAGTATAGTGGAACGTGCTGGTGATCATGTTTGTGCTATTGAACCTCTCCCTCAGACTAAGCTGACGTCTCTGACTCGCAGTTTGAATGTTGATTTGTTTGAAATGAACACAATACCAACATTGACTAGTTGTCACATAATGATCAATACTTTTCTTAAATGAGTTAAATCTTTCTTCGGAGCAGAACGTGCATTTTGACACACACAAAAACAGTCATGGACATATTTGGAAACTCAGAATGGGTAAAAACAACAGAATTTGTAAACTTAGCGCTTGGTTCGGCTCGATTTGTTGGCATTGTGCGGCGCGATTGAGAGAGAGACAGAGATGAGCAGTAAATTAGTAAAAATTGTTAATGGTCCAAACACAGTTAGAAAAGACCACAAATGATCACAGTAAGGTGGGACTGGGTGTCTGCTCCGAACTTGGTGGCACTGTGGCCAACATGTTGTTTGAAAGGAAATAATGCATTTAGTTTTTTCAGTGTGTGCATAGGCTACTCACTGTATGGGGTGTTTGTTAGCAGTGAAAGCGAAGCAGAAATACTTTAAACTTAAGCATTTGGTTATTTATCGCAAGTCATATCGTCATCTTAACATTCAACAATGTTACTGCATATCATGTGTTTTCCTAATATCGTGCAGCCCTGGTTTATATTTGACATTTTTCACCATGATGCACTATAAGCTGTGTATTTACTGTATGTATACATTTGTGTTTGACCTTGTGTATGTTTGTCCTCTGTAGATATATCGTCCACAGTGATGACCACAACCCCTACCTGGCCTCCATGGAGGAGTTTGCTGAGAAACTTGAAGACTTCCAACCAGATCTGGTGGTGGTGGGTGGGCTGCAAATGATGGATAGCTTCCCCTTCCAGTCAGGTAAGAGGAGATGGTTGACAACCTTTAATTTGAAGCTGATGTGGAAAATGTAATATAAGAGTCTGGTGCTTTGTATCCTAGAAGGGAAATTAGATATGAGCATTCTTAGTATCTAAATTTTTCCTGCATGTGTTTGCTGAGAAGATGTTGAGATGAGAATCCAAGTCAAACTGTGGCACAGCGATGAGTGATGGCTTCTTCTTACGTGTACTCCTCTATTCTGAGATATTTAAAGGTTGTGTATGCATTGTATATGTAAATATGTATGTATTTATAAATTGTGAATTTTATGCAAATAAGAGAGTTTGACTGAGATTAACATAGCTTGCTATAGAATCATCTGCAGAGGAGAGTTGGCCTTTGCTGACTCACATCACCCTTTTTTCTTTTCCTTTTATTTGTCTACTGTTCATTTTCTTTGACATCACTGCCTCTGATTTCTCACATCCTCTCTCTATTTCAAATCTTATCTCCTGCCTTTTTCTTTTAAAATTCCAGGTGAGCGTGAAGCTCTCCTCTCCCGTCTGGCCGACCTGCTGTCCTCCTCGTCTCCTCAGATTGGCGTCCATTTTGAGATGGCCAGTTTTGTTGAAGAGAGTATAATGGAAGACCTGCTTCACTATGTCATTCCTCATGTAAGTATGACTGAACAATTAAATTAATCATCACATTCATTCACACGCATTTCTCAGAATGATTATACAAAGACACAGGTGAATACCAATATCAGGAATTTTAAAATTAGGTTTACTTAAATTTGTTAAATGCACTTGCGGTCAAAACAGTCGTGACTCAACAGAAACTGTTTGTCTTCCTGTATTTGCTTAGGTTTATTTTTATTTTACATCCGTCTTATATTTGCATGTTGATAAGAGTATTTGTTTGTGTTTCTCTATCTTACATAGTTGATGACTGATTTCTCTCTTTTTCTCACATCTGAACTCTAATGTGAGAAAACAAAACAATCCTACAAGGACAAATATGTTTGGACCATTTACAATAGCTGCTTCAAACAAAATAATGAGTTAGTAGTAAGTAGGGATTTCATGATGCAAAAGAATAAATGCCACAGTGTGTGTGGGTGATTGGAGAGAAGCAGAATCACTTATTGTTGGTGTTAGTACATTGCGTGTGCAGCCTCTGCTGTTTTCATTGAGCTACACCTGAATCTACCTACATGCCACTGTTCTGTTTTATAATCTTTATAGTCTTTTTTTATTCATTACTTGAAGGCTAGATGACCACTTCTGTTTTTTGTATGTTGAGGTAAATGGGATTTATTGTTTTGTTTTTTGTCTTGGTAACGAATTGGATATCAAGAATCGCTGTATCAAGCTATCGGTATTGACTACTACATTATTGGTATCCTGACATCCCTAGTAATAAGATTGACCCATGCTCTTGTTACAAATTTAAGGAAAACAGTTGGTGCTATTTTATGATTTTATCACAGAATATTAAGGGATATATATCACACTGTGCAACACCATGAGTTTTGTGTGTTCATAAGACAATGAAGTGCAAGTTTTTAGTTTAATCCATCATCCTGTTGCTGTTTCCACAGGCGGACTCATTGGGGATGAATGAGCAGGAGCTTCCCAACCTGCTCAGCCTGCTGAAAGGCTCCAACATCACTGTGTTGTCAGACCCAAACCCTCGTGTGGCTACTGTCCTCGACCAGATGAGGGAAGTCTATCGCATTCTGAACCAGCGCTACAAGGATGCAAATGATGCTGTTGCAGAAAGTGACACAGACGGTGCTAAAGCCAGCAGTAAGTCTCTGACCCGGCTCCATGTCCACACGCTCGCCTTTCAGGCCATGATCGTGACCCGTGGCTCTCAGTGGAAGAACACCATGTCAGCCACGGCCAAGGCGTCTCTCACCGCTAACCGCCATGTCTGTGGCTCCAATGACATTGATCCCAGCAAGGCGAGGCTCATCATGGATGACTCGTTCTCTGTCAGCCGACGAGAAGGTAGCCAGCGTATCCCTCTGCAGGAGACCAGGCCTGTCAGCTGCTGGGATGAGGATGATTATGAGATCTGCGTGGCGCCCGTGCTGGTGTGCACTGAGGTTTACCAAACTGCAGGTGGAGGGGACAACATCTCTGCTGCTGGCCTTGTGCTGCAGATCTAAACAAGGACACTAAATTGTCTATCTGTGTGAAGAGTGCTGATATTTGTTGGCAACAAAGTGACTCTGGAAACTTGATCTAGGTGTGATGCAAAATAGTCGTTGTGGAAAACACAGGTACTGATTGTGGACGGTACCAGGCTAATGCTATCACACTTGCAGCTCATGTCCCAGATGGACCATTAGGGAAACAGAATATCACTCTGAGGAGTTAAATGATGGGGTACAGTTGTTATTAATCAGGTTAAACCACCATGTTTTAAATGAATGGGCTCAGTGTTGATTTGTTTTGTAGGAGCTACAGAAAAAATGTACCAAAAAAAATTACAGTCAGTGTGAACATGTTTGGTGTGTAAACTTTGGATCCTGAATGTTACATACCATATAGTATGTATTTCTAGTGCAAAGCCCTCAGGTTTCCAGTTTATTTAATTTTAGAATGAGCAGACACTGCCCTGTTTTGTCACATACCCATCATCTTTTCCAAGTCATTGTAACCCATCATCTGACTCTAGTGATTTTAATAAGCCTCTTCTATTTCTCTGAGGCCTTACGAGACTCTGCCTTCGGCCAGGATAACAGAAAGAGGGATGAGGTTTGGAAAAAGTCATTTGGTTGTTTTTATAGAGCCTTACAGAGTAGCCTGAGGCATGGTATGTTTTGAATTGCGTGTCAAGACATTGAATGCATCAATTCTGCTGTGTTTACAGAGCAGAAGACTGCAGGGCTGCTAAACTTCTGTTCTAAGATAAACTCTTTGTCCTTTCAAACACGTCACTCTACTATGCAGTAGACTTATCCAATAGCTGAATCTTTGGTTTCTTGGCCGCAGTGTTTTCACGTACTTAAAGTGGACAGGTCCAACCATTTAACAAACCTTTGACCTCACCTGCCCTGCAGCAAATGCAGTTAAAGAAAAGCTTGTCTAAAGCTGAGAGGTTAACAACATCTGAACCGTTATTACAACAAGATTCTGTCCTGCCTCTTCCCTTTCCTGTCTTTAAAAGTAGAAAGCTGGTGAGGTGATCACCTCCTTTCCTTCCCAGTATATCATTAATGTGAAAAATGTGCAAACTGCTATGGGTGAGTTTGATTTTCATTCCTCTGTGTCAGTGGCAGTGCAATAATGCAAAAACTAAGTTAAGAGACCACTTTTTGTAGCTGGATATGATGTCACAAATTTCTTCTCTACCTCCATGCTGTTTCTTCCTTTTCGTGTCGTCTCCCATGTTTCTTTGACATTTTTCTATCATCTGTAACATTTCTTCCCATCTTGTGTTTGTTAATGTTTTTCGTACCAAATAACAAGTGTGTACTGCCCCAGTCAACGCTGCTGTAAAGCTGAAGTTATTGGCAGCCAGTTTTCACATTTGTACATGATAAGGCTTGATATATCTCATCACTAGTTTGAGATTTTCCACATGACCAACATCATCATCACACTCCCTTTTATTTTTTTTCAGAATCTGAATCACTTTTCTTTTAACTATATTTACACGAGCCACCTGATTTGAACGGGAATGATGCAAATTGTTATTTTTCTTACTTCGAACATTCCACCACAGACCAAGCTTCAGTTTCTTTCTCCATTCAGACTCAATTTTGTTTCACAACTATACTTCAACAAGTAGTGTTGGTTAGTTTTGTTTTTTGTGATTTATTTTCTGTTTCCTGAAACGTGTTTGTTAAACCCCCTTTCAGTGAGGAACGCATTTATTCCTGTTACAATGCAACGTGTGTGAGGTCAAGAGAAAAGTCTAAGAGTAAAGGAATATCCTTTTGAATGTTTCTGTTTTTTAAGACTGAAGACAAATGAGCCACTTTCCGTCTTGGTGTTGAGTGAAAAGGGAACGTTTAATACAGACCTTTTCTATTACAGTAGGGCCGTGTTCTATTTTCTCATGTCTGGTTGGAAGCTGAGAGTAATGGGTTGTGTTTTTACTGTGAAATGGGCACAACATCTAAAGAGATTCCTCCATTTATATTTGGATGAAACCTCAGCATGAATTCATGCTTCTATAGAGACCTGTTTGTGTTTGCTACTATATCATACTCACTTAAATCTCTCCAAGAACTCATGTCACCCATGTTCCAAAGCTGTGTTTAATGTGTCATGCATGTTTATGATTCAATGCAAAATCAACAGAGATAAAATGCACTGCTGATAAAGCAACCATTGTTTTGTTTTTTTGATTTATTCATTCATTTTCATACTTAGAATGTTTTTCTTCATTAGGTTAGTTGCAGTCTACTGAACTTAGTCTCCAGTAATGAGATGGAGGACGATTAGATTTTCACAGCATGGCTTCTGTGTCACTACATCATAATTGACAGGGATTATTTTCTTTCTCTTGCACTAAACATTTTTGTGTCGCTTCATGTTGGTAATGTCTTCAGTGTGCTACAAATTCCTGCTTTAGCCATTTATGCACTGGCTGCTCATACTGAACACTGAAATGTAGGGCCACATTACTTCCAGTTTCTCATACCACCACTGGGCTCTATACACTTAATAAGAGAATTTCCCTTATGAGCTGTGACTGTGGGACACCAGATTCCTTATAACATTGAGGTTTTATATCAACAGGCTTGTACCCTCCACCCAGAGGAGTGGTCTAATAATGCAGATGGACTAATGCTGCATATTCTATACAGCAATTATAGGAATGAAGAATAATGTAATTCCCGACTGGCATCCTTTAATTGGTCTTAAAGATTTTTCAACAAATGAGTAAGACACTCAGTGGAGCACATTCCTCCACTAAGGCCCATCAGTCCTCTTGTGAAACCACCAAATTACACACTCTCAGAACTATCAGTGTCCTAAACATGCCTGATTTATTTAATCAAGATCCATGACTAACTATTAGCCCACCTTAAAAACATTGTAAATCAAACTTGTTTTTGTAATATTTGTCTTGCAGTTACACACAAACTGTGGAACTATTTATATGTCAGGGTCTATGGTCAGCTGGCTGATAACGTCTTTGTAATAGATGTGGTTCTTCTCCGTGTCAGCGAGAGCCGTCAGCATCTCTTCCACCTCCTCCTGAGTGAGGGGCTCACCTGGTTTAAAGAACAAACACAACACAGACATGATTGTTTGTTGTTTTAAGGGGAATGATAGACACGCAAAGACATAAGATAAGTTAAAAAAAAACAATTGCTTCTACTTTACCTTCCTGTGTCATGTACTTTGTCATCTCCTCGGTCTCCAGGTATCCTTTCGTTCCTTTGTCCAGAACCTGGATACACAGAGTGTTCAGTAACTCCCACATTAGATACACTCTGTCAATGCTGGACAATACACAAAATAACAGTAGCTAGTCTCACCTTAAAGGCCTGAAGCAGACGATTCTCTGGAATGGGAAGGAACCTAACACACAAACACACAAAAACAGCTTCTATTTTCTGTGGTCAGGGAGAACTGTGAGTTTTGCAATGAAACATAAAAGCTTATAATTGAAATATTAATGAGTACAAGGCTCAGATCGTGTTGAAAACTAATAAAAATCTGAAAACTCATAGAGACGTATAGAAAACATAAACAAAACAACATGACTGGCGTCAGTGCCTGGAGACAACAGAGCTCTTACTTTTTCTCCAGCAGCACTTTGGTCATGGCTGGGAGAAACTTGTCCAGATGGATGTATCCTGTGTGATCCTCTTCCACCTGGTTGAACAGGACAACACTTCAGGGTTTTGGTTCTTGGACAATAATGGCTGCTTATAACATCACCCTCCATGTGTTACATCTTTTATAAAAAACATCACACTGATCATAATTCTTGTTATGTTTTCGTTTGTTTTTTGGCAGGATTAATGCGAAAACTGCTGAACAGATTTCCATGAAACTTGGTGGGAGGATGGGACACGGGCCTAAGAAAGAGGCCACTGAAGTGTATACTTCATTAGGAGGTAAATTAAATACTGCTACATTCCAAAATGATGAGACATTAGAACCTGAGGAAAAGCCTCAGATAATTTGACTTTTTCCTTTCATCCAAAATATGACACACACATTAGTGAAGATTGTTCTGACCTCAGCTATAAAGTCATGTAGGTCTTTCTGAGAGGGGAAGCAACCCAGGGAATAGATGATGGTTCCAATCTCCCTAAAAACAAAGAGATAAAATGAGTACATCATCTTAAACCACACAATATCAATACATTGACTGTTACTGACAAATGTCACAGTACTTATGTCATTTTTTTGGTTTATCCAGCCATTCCAGAGCCCAGTGGCCACTGCTGAGTCGGGTCATCAACCTTAGTCACCGTCAGTATGAGCTGATTTCTAACTTTATTCAATAAGTGTGCAAGTGGTGTTTCTGTTAGGTTTCCAGCAAACCAAAAATCAGCTGGGAGAAACACGGAGGTATAAAATACTCCAGGGCATGAGGGGAGTAGCCTCCCACATGAACTACACATTTACTTTGTTCACTCTGTAATTACTTTTCTTAAAATACACAGTGTCCTTATCCTGAGGTTCAAAACCCAACACACGGTGTGGACGATGTGGAATAAAATTTGACTGCTGTATTTAGACCCAACAGGATCTGTTTTGAATCCAGATCTTCATTCACTTTCTGAGGATATTCAAAACAATGTAAGAGCCTGCATCTCAAACTCGACTGAACATATAATAATAAAAATATAATAATACTCATTTTAATTCTCATTATTATTATTAGTAGTAGTAGTAGAAGTAGTAGTAGTAGAATATTGATTATTTAAGTCACTTTCTTTTAACATTGCAAGATAGGGCACCTTTTGACATTTTCACCTGTTTCACAGAGAATAATAATGGATCTTGATGAAAAAATCCAACATGTTTAGGCGAGTGTCTGAAATTTGGTGCAGATCCTAAAGGAAATCCAGATCTAGTGAGCTTAAATGTGTTTTCATTGGCTTACAGTAAATTTGTTACTTAGTGGTTACAAAAATATAAATTTCTCTTCTTGAAAACTAGCTAAAAGGTATAATTTGTGTTAGAGGGGTTTTGACTTGTGTTGTATAAATGATGTGTTGTGTAAAAAAGTTCTGGGGCCCCAGGTAGTAGTGGCTAATGGGGACATAAATAAACTTATGACTATGGGCTCTGGGGCTTTAGGGGATACTGAGTGAGGGTCTGGAGGCCATGGGTCTGCCTGGTTTGTGGTCCAGCTCAGAGTGCAGACTGCTGGAGGAGCTTACCGGACATCCACTGTGTTGTCAGCCTCGTAGTCGAATGCCTGAAAAGCCTTTCTGATCTTCCTGTGAACATCTGCCTCAGTGGCCTCTGACAGAAGGAGACAAACATGAGGAGAGACAAACAAGTGATCAAACAAGGTTCTTAACTTTAAATTACATAATGAAGGTGATTTTCTGAAGTGGATGAACTCAAACTGTCTCTTTTATCATCCGAAGATCACACTTTCAACAAAGTAATATATAACGAAGAGGTTATATTTTCTAACCTGCACTCTCCCTTGTGTCCATGTTTGGTCTGACTGCGGCTGGGTGGTTGCTAGGCAATGGCACAACAGTGCTGCTACTTGAATTATGCTGCTTGTCTACTACAGGTTTTATGGTCATAGTCTGAATATAAAACTTTAAGATTCAAGGAGCTGCACAGAGACATTTAAGATAAAAACCAGAAAGCAGCACAAAAGACGAAAGAGGTTAAGAGATCAAAAGAGGTTAAGAGATCAAAAGAGATTAACAGATCAAAAGAGGTAAAAGGAATAAAAATGATTAATCTGTATGCAAATTTCAAATTCAATGATGACCTTGTATTAGCCTGTAAAATATTTTTAGGCTTGCTCTTGTGTGAATTAAAAAGTTTTCAACCTGGTTTTAAAAACGTGCTGAACTGATTTATTTTGGTAAATACTACTTTTAATACATTTCATTTATTTCAATATACTTTAATACATGTTATTATCTTTGCTACATTTTAATACTTTCAAAGATTTGTCTGCATTTGTAAATATTTTGTAAACAAAATGTATTGATGGTATTTCAATACAGTGCCACAGACAACCATGATTACTTGATACAAAGTCAACTGAAAAATGCAGGCCTTGTCTTTACAGAATGGAGTTTCATTCACACAATGTTCCAACTACAACTTAAATAAATGATCATTTAAATGGTTGATCATCTTTGACTTAGGAGTCAACCAAATCTTAGTCAAACATTGGAGCTATGATCTTTGTGTAGAGAAGCAAAAAGTCCTTTGGGTTATAAGATTTGCTGAGTGATAATGAATGAATCAGTGTAGAAGTGAAGATCACAGTCGTGCATCTTATTTTGTGCATGAACATCGACAGGCCGAGCCCTTTCTCTGTATCCTAGAGAAAACTGAGAGAAACTCTGGGAGCTGTTGTGACCTCGGTCAGCAACAAGCTAATCCTCACTGGTTCTGAGAACATGGACATGCAGTTGTTGATAAAACACACACACAGACACACACACATCAACCTCACAAGTCAACAAGATACATCTGGTACAACAGACGATCAGGAAAATGCCTTAAAATCAACCATAGTGACACAAAGACATAAATAGAAGGTTTCCCAGTGACTCGTTGCTAAAAACATGCCATGGAGAAATCATGTGAATCATTTGTTAATTAATAGTTATTCATGTTATATTAGGAGTGTGGGTATTACAAGACATTGTTTTTTTCTTTTCATCGTATATTCACACAATAAAAATACAGCAAATGTCCAAATTCACCACATCTATACTTAATCAGCGCAACAATAATTTCATCATCTGTACCTGAGTCCAAAATGGCAACTTTTCCTGAGCGGAGATAACACAGCTGTCATGGTTTAGACTTTAACCCCCACTAGATGGCGCTGACATTTCTTTAGAGGTCTGCCACTGCAGTAACCCACCTCCACCGGCAGAGGAACTGTAGTTTAGGACAGTGACAATGACATGGGGGGGGGGATCAATGTACTGCCACATAATGTGTATTCTACTGTACAGATACACATAACACATACTGACTCATACTGCAGTGAGTGTGTTTGTTTCTATAGTATAGAGGGCCAATTATGGTTCAATCTATTATTGTGAGGACATTTAACATTGTGAGGACATTGCAGGTCCTGCGTGAGATTGTGTGCGTGTGTGAGAGAGAAAGAGAGAGAGAGAGTGTGTGTGTGTGTGTGTGTGTG